GGTACATATATTCTTTCCGATTGATGTTTCAGGCTTCTTAGGGTATATTCCTAGAAGTGGGATCACTGAGTTAAATGGCAATGCCATATGAATTTTAGAATAACCTTGTCAGTTTCTACAAAGAAGCCAGATGGGATTCTGATAGGGAATACACTGAGTGTATACATCAATTTGGGGAGTATTGACATCTTAACAATATTGTCTTCCAACCCATAAACATGAGATCTTTCCATTTCTTTAAGTTCTTAATGTCTTTCAACATTTTGTAGTTTTTCCCCATATAAATTTTGTACTTTTTTATTGAGTTTATTAGCAAGTATTCTTTTAGATGCTATTGTAAATGAATTTAGTCCCATTTTCAAATTGTTCATTGTTAATGTACAGAAAGAACAATTTTTTTCTTTATTGATCTTGTATCCTATAACTTTGCTGAATTTGTTCTGAGATTTATTTAGAAATTTCTTAGGATTGTCAATATATAAGATCACCCTGGCCAGTTTGGCTCAGCAGTTAGAGCACTGGCCAGTGGACCAGAGAGTTAGGAGTTTGGTTCCTGCTAAGGGCATGTACCTCGGTTGCAGTTTGTCCCCGGCCCTGATTGGGGTCGGGTGGGTGGCAACCACTTGATGTGTCTCTCTCACATCAATGTTTTGTTCTTCCTCTCTCCCTCCCACTCTATCTGAAGATAAATGCAAAAATGTCCTTGGGTGAGGATAAAAAAATTTTTTAAAATTATAATATATAAGATCATGTCATCCACAAATAGGCATTGCTTTATTCCTTCATTTCCAGTCTGAATGATTTTTTTAATCTCTTAAATTTTTATTTATTGATTTTAGAGAGAGAAACATCAATCTGTTTTTTCCACTTATTCATTTATTGGTTGATTTTTGCATGTGCCCTGGCTGGGGATCAAACCTACAATGTTGGCATATGGGGCTAATGCTCTGACCAACTGAGCTACATGGCCAGGGCTGAATGTTTTTTCTTTTTCTTGCATAATTTCCCTGGCTAGAATTTCTATCTAGTACAATGATGAACAGAAGTGGCACGAGCAGGCACCCTTGTCTGGTTCTTGAATTTAGAGGGAAACTTTGTCTTCCATTGTATTAGCTGTGGGTTTTCCTTAGTGGTCTGTATCAGGTTGAGAAAGTTCCCTTCCGGTCTGTTTTCTGAGTGTTTTATCATGAAAGGGTACTAGATTTAATCAAAAACTTTTTATATATCCATTGAGATGATTCGGGGTTTTCCCCCTTTATTGATATGGTGACCCAGCTTCTTTTTTTAAAACTTAAAACCTTTGAAGGATGCTCAAGATAAAAAACAAGGTGGGGGTCTGCTCTGGTTGATGCAGGAAGGAAAGTCTGGGGCTGTCAAACTGGCCCACCAATAATTTCCTCCCAAGTAACCCTGGCTTCCACAAGAAACTAAGCCAGTGCCCAAGAACAGCAAAAGGACCCCAGGACTCTCTCATCCAAAACTCCTTGTTGGGCTTATTCTGTCAGCCAACTAAGCTCCAACTGTTGGCCTTCGGAAGTCTTGGTTGGCAGGGCTGGCTGATAACAAGTACACAACCACTTTATCATCCTGCTAATTGCATATCCTGTCATAGAGCTCCAGAGTCAACACCCCCTTCTACCTCTCTGTCTTAAGGATTGATCTAGAGCAGCAGTTCTCAACCTGTGGGTTGTGACCCATTTGGGGGTCGAATAACCCTTTCACAGGGATTGCCTAAGACATAACAGTAGCAAAATTACAATTATAAAGTAGCAACAAAAGTAATTTTATGGTTGGGGGTCACCACAACATGAACTGTATTAAAGTGTCGCGGCATTAGGAACGTTGAGAACCACTGATCTAGAGGCTTTGGAGTCCTTAACACTTGCCCTTTTTGATGTTATCTTTCCATTAAATGTTAGTTTGGCCTGGCCAGTGTGGCTCAGTGGTTGAGCATTGACCCATGCATGGAGATTTCTGGTCAGGATACATACCCAGGTTGTGGGCCCAGTCCCCAGTGGGGGGCATGCAAGAGGCGGCTAATCAATGTTCTCTCTCATCTATGTTTCCATCTCTCTCCCTCTCCCTCCTCTCTAAAATCCATAAAGAAAAAACATTTAAATGCTAGTTTGGACCTGTGGTTATAGCAAAGCTTGTACTTCTAAACCCTTGATTATAATCGACCCAAAATACAGAGGTTCAGTATCTCAAACAGATTGCAGACAGCCCACTGATTACTTTGGGGGATGGATGATTAAGAAACTTTATTACAGAATATGAATGCATCCAATGTCCCCAAATACATTTGTGACAACAGACACACAGGAGACACAGACAATAGTTGCCACATCACAGCCATGTTCTTTCCAAAGGATAAAATACCATTTAAGAACAGGGTGAAGGGGTTGAGAGAGAGGTGGTTAGAGAAAGCAGGTACTATCCTTTAGATTAAAAAATAAAGTAACAGATTAGCATTGCAAGAGCACCTACTGTGGACTCAGAAATCAAATTAAGGCTAAGCCTTAAGTGGTGACACCATGCCATTTGTCACACCTCACAAGCTACAGAGCATGATCCCATCAAGAGAATCAATCTTGTGATGGAGTGAGTAGTGGTCTTGCTGCAAGCAGCTAATGGGCCAAGTGGCCTTAAGTCTCTTTAGAACTAAATGCTTGCTTAATCAAAGATCCTTACCTAACAGCTTCCCTACTTCTGTTTAGCTACTGTGGGAGCACAAAAGTCACCCCCCCCCTTCCACAGTTGGCATGTCTATTTACAATCAGATAGAGGTGCACCACTTAGTAGAAATCTCTTTGTGACAAGTTGAGCTGCTCTTCCAGTTGACAAGATTGCCCACAGCTCCCCAGTCTTAGCATGGCACAGTGTTGGGCAGAATCAGCTTCAGACTATAATGCCAAGTAATGGCTGAAGCAGGAGGGGCAATCTTGGAACAAGTACCTCCAGGCAAACCTCACGACCAAGAGATTTTTAATTAGTGGTCATTTTCTAGAACTAGAAAAACACATTTAGAACAAACAATTCTGATGTGAGAAGGAATGGCTATGAATATAGAGATCAGGCAGGTGATCATTATTGTGACTTGTACCCACCCAAGACCTGACAGGGTGGGGAGGACACCATCTGCAGACATGCAAAGTTCCAAATAGTCAATTTTAAGAAAAAGCTGCTTTCTCCTGAGTAAGCATTAAAACACTCCCAGCTTCAAATATACATATCTGAGTGTTAATGCTAGGCAATAGCAACACTTATCCATAACATAGTACCCTTCATTACTGTGAAGAGTTAAGATGTATAAACATATCAACCCTCAAAATACTTAGTATCACCATTTTGCCACTGTGGCCATCACTCCTTAACCCCACCTTGGATGAAATATTACACCATCTACCAACATGAAATAATCACTGAAACACAAACCAAGCTTCTTCAAGTTTAAGCATATTTAACAACCTATGTTTCCAATGAATGAGCTCATATCGTGTATAGGCCATTCTACTTTCCATCTGATGCATTTAGTGCTTAGAAACAATGCATTCTGTCAGCCTGCCTTGCAGGTGCCCTAACACAGAACCTTCAACAGAAGTCCCAGCAAATTTCCTTGGGATGTTTGGCTTCTTAAAGTAATGGGTAGGTGGGTGTACTGCTACCTAACACCACCAGTCACTGGGGTCCAACAGAGGAGCAGCAGCTAAAGACCACAATTGTTGAGCAGAACAAATATTCTGGGTGGAGGGAGGGGGGTGGAAAAATGTAGCCTAAATGCTTGACACACCATACATACCCTCTGGAAGATGTTTTTGCTGTTTAGCAATTAATTTGGCCCCAGTGTCAGGGGTGAGGCAGGAGGCAAAATAATAATTAAACTCATAGTAGCCTCAATCCTAACTACTCACCTTCCTGCACTTCTAAAGGCTGCTAAACCTTGTCTGTTTATCTTACCTCCTACATTCAATAGTTCAGACTTCATCTTAATGCCAGACACAAACAAAATCATGTAGTAGCTTCAAGTAGTCCTCATCTGCTCCTAAGCTGGCCACTTTCAAGTTATCAGATTTACAGGGAGGCTAGTCACCAAATACAGTGGAGAAGGTTGTTTTACCACTAAGACTGCTATGAGTTAGAAATTTAGACTGTTATAATAGAGAACAGCTTAAAAAATGTAATACTGTTTATTTAACTTCAAAAACATTTTAGCATTCTAAACATACAAAAAATAACAAAGTGTTGCAAATTGTGTTTAGTACAGGTTCTTGAACTTTCATTGATGCAGTGACTCTTCACTTTGCTGACAATGAAGAGTTGTACAGTTTGTTAAAAAACAAAGTTTAAAACTACCACACTTAACTAAAAAAAGATCCAAACACTTCTCATGCCAGCTGACCCCCCTTTTCCACAGCTAAGAATGGCAGAATGCTATGTCACTATATACAAAAACAAGACAACCTGAAGCTAAGTGGATGCCCACTGCAGTGTCCACAGGTCCAGCCTTACAGTGCACGCCCTGAGCTATGGCCCCTCCAAAAGGCATCTTCCCCACAGCCTCAACACCAAGCAAAGAGCATCAAGAGCTTGTCTCGGTTGTTTGTTCTTTTTACATACTATAGATATGTACAGTCTTGGTAACTCAGGATTTCTAGCCAATAACCAAATAGTTAACACCACCTTACAGATTAAAAAAAGAAAATGCCAGAAACATCTTTAAATGCCTTGTCACACCAACAGCAAAGTGCACAGAGTGAGGAGAACACGAGAGCCTTTTCATTTTAAAAATGTTTGGAAATATGTACAACTTTGATACAGTTTCAGGGTGCTCGACACCCATGGCCACTTCATGTAAACCACTGACAATTTCTGAGCACTTTGAGAAACTACATATGATCATGATCCAATTGTGTAATTAATCCTAATGAGGGCAACAGACACCTCTCAAATAAGAGCTGTGCCAATTACGGCGCTCCCCTACACTAAGGTATTCACAAGGAGACAGATAAACAGTTTTTTTTATTCATCCTCCTCCTCCTCCTCCTCTTCCTCCTCCTCCTCTTCCTCCTCATCTTCTTCATCTTCCTCTTCCACCTTTTTCCGGGCAACTTTAGCGGGACCCTTTGCACCATCAAACTTTCCTTTAGACTTATAGTCGGCAACATCCTAGAAGGAACAGGGACACATTCCAAATGAGGAGACAAGCTCTCTTGCAGCTATTTTAGCACAGGGTAAAAACATGCTGTCCCTGCCTCAGAATAAGAATGCTGGGATTCAAAACAGTACAGGGCTGATATTTGAAGTACTTGTTTCCTGATACAAATGTGGTTCTCAGCCATTCAAATTTAAAGGTAATGGATGATCAAGTAATCTTTAACTCTATCAAATCCCTATGCCAGTGAAATCCCATGTTATCCAATTTTTTAAGCCTGTTTGAAGTCATTCCAAATACTAAGATCTATCAGAAGCCTGAACACTAGCACCCGTGGCTGACCTTGAGTGAAGATGGGCCCTCACATGCTCTTCTAGTTACTCAGCCCAGCAAAGCAGCCTTCCACCCCACAAATCCTCATATCCAGGGCAGCAGACCGCTCCCCATCTAGACTGCACACTCTGGCCCACCTCACCTTCTCATACTTCTCCTTCAGCTTTGCAGCCTTACTGTTGTAAGGCTGCTTTTCACTGTCACTTAAGTTATTCCACATCTCGCCCAGCTTCTTTGCCACATCTCCAATAGAGATGCCAGGGTTTGTGGATTTGATCTTGGGGCGGAATTCTGAACAGAACAGAAAGAATCCAGACCTTGGGGGAGAAAATTATATAAATTAGATGAGAACCCTCAAAAATGTGTGTTTAAGTCAAAATCCCATGTTCCTGAGCCTACATACTTCCTACCACTATGACTCCTCCCTACAGTGAAGTGTGTGATACTATATACAGTGTTTCAAAGTTATAGGTACTAGAATGTTTAAGCTGCTTTAGAAATGTATGGTGGTTTCTCAGTCTGTCAGTTACTGGCCAAGGGATAGAGAATGCACCTAAGAGTGCTGACACCCCGAACTAGGCTGCCTGCTTCCCAGTGGAAAGGCTATCAGTCAACCACCAGGTATACACAGTACACCAACACCTCAAGCTCAAAGTACAGAATATATTACAGAGATATCCTGATTATTTTTTAGGTAAAGTATCTTTCTAAAAATCTTTGAAGCAGAAGGAAAGCTCTTCACAGTTGTCCTGAATCCTATAGTCACTTACGGTGGCCTTTTGGGGGCATTGGGGTCCTTTTTCTTCTTGCCTCCCTTAGCTGGTCCATAATCCTTCATTTCCCGATCATAACGTACTTTATCTGCTTTTGCCATCTCATCAAATTTAGATTTCTCTTTCCCCGACATCGTCTGCAAAAAACAGGACCTGTTAAATTCCTCAATGCAGTAAACACATACCTGTTCAGTTCTCCTATAATTAAAATGGCAGCTGCTATAACCACTTGCAAAAGGGGATGAAAGCCTTAAACCCTTGTAGAGTCTTAAAAAATAAAAGCACACATGGAAAATTCTAAAAACAAGTGAGATGTGTCTAAGTAAAAAGGAAGAAAACAGTCACCTGGGGCTAATCTAAAAGTAAGTAACCCCAAAGTATAAATCCAACTAAGACTAGCTTGAAGGATACAAAAAAAAAAAAGAATACCTTCCACCTCTCAGAGCACTTCTTGGAAAATTCTGCAAAATTGACAGGAACTTCTGGATTTTTCTTCTTATGTTCCTCTCTGCATGTCTGCACAAAGAAGGCATAAGCAGACATCTTGCCCTTTGGCTTCTTGGGATCACCTTTAGCCATCCTGACTGTGATGAATGGAAGGAAGAGAAACAAAGAAAAATCCAATGAATAGAACAGAACTACAAGATATACCAAAGGCAGGGCAAAATTAACATTGAGGTTGCTATTAGGAAGCTTCCCCCCGCCCCCCCGCCCCCCCGCCCCAACAAAATAATGCCTGATGCCACTGCCAACCAAAGACAGACTGGGGAGGAAATCAGCCTCACTGTCACTTGTCATTTAACTTTTGACCAGCATGAAGCGCCGCAGGTTTCCCGAGTTACTTCTCCAAGAGTAATCAAGTTCTCAAATGGAACTGACCCAAGTAGGGTGGCTCAGCGCTACATTCCGATTCAGAAATGCTGTTTTGGAAACTGCAACCACAAAGTGGGAAGGATACATTTGTAGGCAGTACAGGCTTATGATAGAAGCTTGAAACCAATGACTTAAAGCTAGCTGGTCATCTGTTTTATCATGTTAGAAACAAAAATACTGTCACCACTGCAAAACACAAGATCAAAGCAAGAGAACTGTAAACAGGGAAAATTTGTATTTCACTATTGTTGATGCATTCTGACTTATAAAAATGGCTTTCACAAGAATGGTGATATAGCAAATGAGCCAATACCCCTGTACTATTAGTTTAAATCTGTCTCTTCATCATTATCTAAAGGCAGGGGATACCAAAAGGGCTAGACTTGCTCATCTGTAAAGCGAAATGCATGTCCAGCCAGAAATACTTTCTCCAAAGTTTCCAAATAAAAATGCTGCTGTGGTGTGTCATAGTCCCTTTTCCACCCCCCAGCTTCCCGCCATCTTTTCCTTTTCCCACACCCAAGGTCATCATGTAAAACTAAAGCGCTCCCCTTTGCAGGGACATACTCAGGGGCTACATTAGGCTCTACAGTAGCTGCGCGGGTGGGGCAGGACAGAACGCAGGGGAGCCCCAGGCCGGCAGTGGGCAGCCAGGTTTGGGCCAGTGCTCGTTCACCTGAACACCCATAATTCACCTTCCATTTTGTCAAAAGCTTCCTGATGAAAGAAAGTGCCCCTGAAATCCACCGTTGCCTCCCCTGAGGGAAGCGCGGGGCCAGGGGCAGTTGTGGCAGCAGTGCTCAGAAGGCGCGGGAGCCTGGGAGCCTGGCCGACAGCAGCCTCAGTGATGGTGGCGCCTGCCTCGCCTCTGAGCCCCGCTTGCTAAAATGGCTGATTCCTGAGCAGCGGGCACAGGAGACGGTGGTGAACAAAGCGGTCCGGGCCCCGCCACCGCAGCCGACACCCGCTTGCCGGCCCCCACCCCACCCCGCCCCGCCCCGGGCGCCAGGGGCGCGGGGCTGCGGGGGCCGGACCCCCCCACTCTCTCCCCCCCCCCACCCCCCGCGCCAGCGCGGGGCGCATTCCTCGGGATAACAAAGGCGCCCGTACAGCCATGACGTTAGACTGCGCTGGGGCCCGTGGCAGCGCCCCTGGCCCTCCAGGCCACCAGACCCTGGCCGCGGGTGCTGGGACCAAGGCTAGAGCTTGCCCGGGAGCACCACCGCCCGCCCAGCCGGGTTGTTCAACCCTTGCCAGGGCCCATCATGCGCCAGCCATGTTAGCCGCGGCGGCAGCGGCGATGCCCAGCGGGCAGGCGAAGAGCGGGGGCGGCCGGCCCGCCCCCCACCCCCCACCCGGACTAACGTGCGCTCCCGAGACGGCCATGTTAATGCAGAAGCAGCAGTGCAGCCCGAGGGCCCGCACAACACCAGGCAGAGCCTAGCAGCGAAGTTTGCCCGCGCCGCAGCCCCCCGCGGACACAGGCTGCCGGTACCACACGGCGTCTGTCCCGGACGGAGGAGCACCCTACCCCCTTCCCAATGCCACCTCCTGGCGCCGGGACGGGCGCTGCCGGAGCCCTCAGCAGCCCCTCAGCTTGCTCTGCAGCCGCCGCCGCCGCAGCTGCCCCAACATCTGGCCTCAGGGGGCCTGAGCTCCGCGGCGCGGGCCCGGGGGGCGGCGGCCGAGGTTGGCTCCTAAAAGGGAGCCCAGCCTAGACAGCGGGGAGCTCGGAATGAAGCACTGGAAAGTTGAAACACCTGAATTGCTTCTTTCTTCCCAGTCGCCTAGGTAGAAGAAAAGCGGAGGGGGCAGGAGGGCGCAGGGAGGAAAGGCAGAAGGAGATGGCAGAGGGACGCGCTGGCGGCGGCGGCGCGGGCTGGAAAGTTGTGCGGGCACTGCGGCGGCAGCAGCGGCAGCGGCAGCAGTAGCGGGAGCGGGCGGCGGAAACGTACCTGTATTGTTCGCTAGTCTGGGCAGCGCAGGGCACGACGCGAGGCTCAGCGTTCCCCAGCCTCGCGCTAGCTGACTCCACGAGAGCCGCCTGATTGGCCAGCGGGCTCCGCCGTTTAAAACAGCCTCCTTGCCCAGCCATTGGCTGCGGGCCTCATGCATATTAAACAAGCGCGGGTACCCATTGGGCACGGCTGCTGCGATCATTCATTCAAACAGAACAACCCGCCGGTGCTGGCTACAGAGGCAAAACAGAGGAATAATAGTCTAGCTTTCCCACTGTCCGCGCCCCCTCCACGAACTGAGCTGGCATTTCAAAGGACTATCCAGAGGGGGCCCCCGCCATTCCCCACGTCCTTGGCCTCTGGCTTGGGAAGGCAAGGTCGAGCCAGGCTGCGCTACTCTCTGCTCCCGCCGCGCCACTGCAAGGGCGCCCTCACCTCCCGCCCCTGGCCTCCAGGCAGCCCCCCAGCCCCGGGAACCGATCTGCGAGGTTCGAGGATCCTCCACCTCTGCCCAGTTCCTTCGCAGCTCCGTGGCAGGGGCCTTGCCGCAGCTCGCTCCTTGATGACAGTAGAAGCTACTCGTCCCCCAAGACCTCAGGGTTTCAGTACTGGGATCCCGCTGCCCCACCCGAAAGGAACCTGAGTCTGCTCCTGAGGATCCTGCTCCACTAGACTATGCACTAATTGCCAGAAAGTCTGTGCCTGTAATTGCCGAAACAGCAAGCTAGGTGGACTAGAGGAGGAGAACAGAGTTTGGCAACAGCAGAGAAATTGCAGTTCTCTGTTCAGGGAGTCACTTCTTCACTGCTTCATTTCAGGCCCACATTCCCTCTGCTCACCTGAGACACACCCTGGTGAAGAATAAAAGTTCTCGGAACGAAGGAACAGGATTTGACTTGACTTAGCCTCAGCTTTGCCACTGGCTAGTAGTGGTATGGCCTTGAGCAAGTCACTTCTTTTAGTGTCTTCAGGTAATGGTTTTCAAAGTGTGTGTGTGTGTGTGTGTTGGGGGGCAGTGTTACCTTTAAGGGATGTTTTAAAATGCCCCATGACTGGAAGTTGTTGCTGGAATTTAGTAAGAGGAGGGGATGGCCAGGGGTTTTAAATGTCCTGCATTGAGCAGAATAGTCACATAGAAGAAAGAAATGCCCCACTATACAAATGCTAGTCTCAGCCTTGTTTAAAAATATTGGAGGACCCTTTCCTCTTTGAGCTTCCTAGAAAGAATGAATAAAGGAAAGAAGAGTGAGGAAAAGGTGCACATTTTATGGGTTGAAATTTGGAGAAAATGATGGAAGAGGCACATCCCTTTCCAAAGCACTTTGAACCACCAAGATAGCCAGCTATTTATAATTCCCATATTTAGAAATGAGATCAGAAGATGTGTTTTCCAATGCTGTTTCCAAAAACTGGCTGAGTTTGAGGTGTTCCAGGGAGCTGAACTCACAAGGCAGCTGCCTTCCCCTCTGCACTCAGTTCTTGCCAAATTCTCTGGGCCTCCTGGGCCCCTGCAGCTGGCACTGCTAGGCTTCCATCATTAGGGATTCAACTGAGACCGAAAGGTAAAAAACAAAAAAAACAGTGCTGCTTTGACCAGAGCCGACAGGTATCAAGTCATTTTCCTAAGTCCCAAATTTATAGGCTCTTTGTAATGTGGATATCTTAAGACCACCTCTATAATCCTCTGCCCTCTTGGGGCTAGCTGAATGGTTGCCTGCCTCCTGCTGACATACCTTCACTCACTGGGAGCTTGTCACCTCCCTTATAGGCTATTTTCCCCATCTTGAGCAATCTCTGAGCCTTGGAGTCACCATCCTACACACAATCCAACCCCACCCCCATCAGAGATTTCCTAGCAGACCAGGTCTTTTTTCCAGCCAGACAGCTCCAGCATCTTTTATGACCAGGTCCTCAAGGTCTAACCTACCAAGCCTCTCCATCCTCCCCTGTTTCTGCCCTTCCCAAAGGGGAGCAGGGTCTCTACATGTGATCTGACCTGTACCTCCCCTCTGCCAGAGTGCCCTAGCCTCCATGTTGTTAGGCCTTCATAGGCCAGAGATGCAAATTGGGGTCTCAGGTGGGACAGAGGTCTCTTTCTGATCCAGCTGCTGCCCAGCATCCTGGTCACACTGGAAGCTGCACTTAACAGTTGGCAGGCACCAACGTGGAAGAACCAGAGTGGTCAGCTTCTGAGCCTACCAGGCACTATTTGGTGGGCCCCTGAGTGGATGGTGAGGGTCACACAAGCAGCATAGATGTTCACATTCACAGCCAGGCACACACAGAGCATTCCCAGAGGCAGAGGCACAAAGGCCAACCCAGAGAATAAGAGTATCTCCCAGCAAGAAGAGATTTTACAGTAAGTGGTGTCCAGATAGCCCCCTCAAGACCCATTTTCCCCATCCACTGCCACAGTTCTGTCCATGGGTTTCCCATATATGTGTACATACTTCGAATGGTGAAAGGTTTGCACTTATTGAGAGGAAGGATTTCCATCTCTGCTTCTGAAAAAGCTTCTCCTATCAAGCTGAAGCACTAGACCTGAAGCTTAAATTTGTGGTTGCTGTCATCAGAACGTCACAGAACGTGATTATGACATCACTGAGTGAGCATGTCAAATCTTAAGGTGGTGGCTGTGGTTCCTTGATCCTGCCCCTGCAAACACACATATCACTCCAAGTCTCCATGTCCTCTTCAAGCCCAATCTCCATGATTCCTCCATCCCTTTCCCATGAGCCTTGGTTGGGAGGCTCCTAATAACCTGGTTTCTCCACAGTGCTGCATGTGTGTGACAGCACACCTAAGCAAACTCTGTGGCTTCACAGGTTCCTACCTCAGGAGAAACTCATAATTCAATTACATCTTCATGTATTGAATGCCTACAAATAAATAATAGAGGGAAGATGAAGTAAAGTAGGGGTGAGGCTACAAGGTAGGGGCAAGGCAGTGTCTTTGTTTTTTAAATCTTTATTGTTGAATGTAGAATGTATCACAGATGTTCCTCATTTTTCCCGCATTGACCCCCTCTTCCCCACTCCTGCCCCCCTCCCGCCTTTTCCCACACTATTGTCTGTGTCCATTGGTTATGCACATAAGTTCTTTGGTTTATTTCTTCCCACCCCCCAACCCCTTTCCCTTTGAGGTTTGCCAGTCTAGCAATGAATTTGTACTTCTTAATCCCTTCACCTTTTTCACCCATTCCCCCAACCCCCCTCACATCTGGCAACCAACAAAATGTTCTCTATATCTATGAGAATGTTTCTGTTCTGCCTGTTCATTTTGTTTGTAGATTCCATTGTCGATAGATATGTATTCATTGCCATTTTGTTTGTTCATATATTTCATCTTTTTCTTCAAAAAGACCCTTCACCATTTCATATAATAACGGTTTGATGGTGATGAACTCCTTTAATTTTTTATCTGGGAAACTCTTTATATGGCCATCGATTCTAAATGACAGCTTTGCAGGATAGAGTAATCTTGGTTGTAGGTTCTTGCTTTTCATCACTCTGAATATTTCTTGCCACTCCCTTCTGGCCTGCAAAATTTCTTTTGAGAAATCAGCTGACAGCCTTATGGGAACTCCCTTGTAGGTAACTAGCTGCCTTTCTCTTGCTTCTTTTAAGATTCTCTTTTTGTCTTAAACCTTTTGCATCTTGATGATGTGTCTTGGTGTGGGCCTCTTGGGGTTCATCTTATTTGGGACTCTGTGCTTCCTGGACTTGTATGTCTGTTTCCTTCACCAAGGCAGTGTCTTTGGACTCTGATTTCCTGGTGTGTCTTCTGCCATGTAACCTCACCTATCCCAGCTTCAGTGTCATCTGTCAAAGGTGATTCAACCTACCTTATCCACCCCAGCCACTGTCCAGTCTGCTTGTGAGGGAGGGTGTGAGTGAAGCTGGTCTGGGTGTCACCAATAAAAGGCCACCTAGGGAAGGCCTTTTAGCACCGAAGGAAGGGCTAAAGGCTAGTCTAGAAGGTTAAAGAAGTGACAGAAAGCCATAAGTGCCTGGGCAAGTTCTGGACTCAGGGGCCGCAAGGCAGGCTTCCTCTGTGTGTAGCAAAACTCGGTGCCTGGTGGGGGTAGCTCCAACTGGTCGAGGCTCTGGACCTCTGTCCTGGCCCTCCCTGGAAAGTACTTTAACCACACCACTTACTTGTGAGGCCCAGCCTCAGGCCAAGCCCATTACACAGGGGAACCTTGAATCAGAACACTGTAAGCTGCATGGCTACCTGGAGAGGTTAGGAAAACATTTAAAGTAAATAGGAAAAAGGACAAAGAATGACAACTATTATTTAAATAAATTTTGGTTCTTTACAGTTCAAGACCCTTCAAAAGATTGAAGGAAATCATCCTCATTCAAGAAAAATGAAGTCTTGGTCCTCTATACCCACCTCACACACACACATACACACCCACACCCACCTCTGCCTCAGGTCTCCACTTGGGTGCCCAGTACTTAAAGGTGACATCCCTAAGGCCCAACTCAGCCAGCGTCCTTAAGATAAATGAAAATGCAGCCAGGTGAATAGGGAGGCAGGGTGAGGCCAGATAGTTGAATCATTTAAAATATGTTAAGGGTACTTGCTGTGAAGGTCCTACAATGAAGCACACATACCCTTTCAGAAGGGATCTAGGAGCATTTGTAAATTCAGATCCGCACAGATAGGGAGTCTAGATTTCAGGCCTTCCCGGGGCTCTAGCCCCACCTTGCTCACTCCCAGGTGACCTATTCAAGGTCTGAAGCCTCCTCGCCCCCCTCTCCCTCTGCTCTTGGATGGGAATTTCATTCCAATTTAACTTTTTTCCCCATAGGGAAGAAAGTGTTTTCAAAGGTAGGTAGGGTCTCAGGTGCTATTATAATGGGTCTATAGAGCTGCACAGCTTGGAAGAAAGGTCAGGTCATCCAGCCCAGCCTCCTCCTGTCAAATGAATCAGTGGCTGAGCAAAGGCTGGAAGCATGGTCTCTTGACCCTTAGTGTCACACTTCTCTTACCCTTAATAGCTTAGCTCCACTGTATGCAAAGGCCATTGGGGAGTTGGCAGGAAACACCAGAGCCATCAAGATAAAGATTCCA